GTCCTGCTCGACGGCGGATCCAAACACCCATGTGAGTGGCCCGTTGTCGCGCAGTGTGAAGCGCTCCTGTAGCATGTTCACAAATTCGTCCCGGAAGCCTCGATTAGAGGTGGCGATTACAATGTCATCAACGTACACGACAAAGAGAAGCGTTTTGCCCCCTTTGGAGTAACGCCATAGACAGGGGTCGACGTCGCATTGTACGGCGCCGATGGAGAGGAGGAACGATCGGAGTGTCTCCTCCCAGAGTGCACCGCTCTGCTTCAGCCCATAGATGGCTTTGACGAGCCGAAGCGCGCGCTCAGGTCGACCCCTCCTGCGCGACGGTTCCCGGAAGTCGAGGCCGGTATACTTGAAGGTGTATTCGTGCCCGTCTCCCTCAAACTCCCAGCCGGCAGGGAATCGCATGTAGATCTGGACGTTGTCCTCAATGTGGCCGTTCAGGTACGCCGTCTTGATGTCGAGACTGGTGAGCTCGAGGTCGTTGCCCGCGGCGATGCCGAAGAGCAATCGCAGCGTCTCATAGCGTACTTGCGGACGTCCGTGTGTGTGTGTGTGTGTGTGTGGTGGGGGGGGAAACACGTTGTGAACACAGTGTGTGTGAATTCAGGACGAGCAGCTCCTCGCCCTCCTCCTCGCCCTCCTCCTCGCCCTCCTTGTTGGTTTTCTAAAATCTCTCTCTCAGAGCTCACACAGGATCACAGCGGGAGGAAAGCGGCGAGTCGCAATTCCAGGGGTCGTTGTGGCGGGCCTGTGTTCGTATTCTTGCCGGCGGTTTTCTTCTTTTTATTGACGAAAATTTCGGCCAGGAATGGAGCCAGCGTCCCGCCAGCCCACGCCGAGAAGCAGCCATGGCCAGCCACGATGGCTCAGGCCCGCACGCCGCCAAATTCTACGTGCCGCGGCTGCTCTCGACTAGCGGCGAGCCCTCATCCTCGCACGTCCTCAGCGAGTGCGCCATCCGGCAGCTCGCGCCACAGGTGCCTCGCCGGTACGCGCTCTCTGACTGGAGACTGCTCTACTCGACGCACGTGCACGGCATCTCAATCAACACTCTCTACCTCCGCGCCTCGGGTTGCGGCGGATGCCTCCTCGCGCTGAGGTCCTCCGACGGTGCAGCTACCTACCCTGCCACTTGAGCGCACTTCTGGACCGCACACACGCTCCTTGCGCACTCTATGCGACTGTACGTCTGCTCTCTGCTCTCGAGTGCAGTTCGCTCCCTCTCTTCTGTCGGCGTCTCTGCTCAACTCGCCCTCGCCACTGCGCGCCTGCAGGAGCCACCTTTGGAGGCTTCATCTCCGAGTGCCAGCCGCCGAGTGCACCGGGACCGGACGGGCGCCACTTTTACGGCAACGGCGAGTCCTTCCTCTGGCGGGTCGAGCCGCTCACAGACCTGCCTCCGCTGCCGCGCCCCTCCATGGGAGAACCGCCCACCTGCCTGCTCGAGACGTTTGGCTGGACGGGTCGAGATGTAGCCGAGATGGTGCCGAGATAGAACCGACCTGCCCTGCTCGAGACGTTTGGCTCAGACGGGCGCGCAAGAGAGCACACACTTCTTCCTCCGCGGCGCGAGGCGACACCCGCGACGCGTCCACGACGTGTCCCCGCGGACTCGGCTGCAGGCGCCAACACGTACTTTGCCCTCTCTCACCGAGAGCACCTCGCCCTCGGGTCCGGAGGGCACTTTGGCCTGTGGATCGACGCCGACCTGAGGTGCGAGATCCGGCCGAGATCTAGCCGAGATCTAGCCGAGATCTATGGCCCGGATGCGCCGAGATGAGCGGGGCGCCCACACGCACTCCTCCGACACCGACGACCAGCCTCGCGTGCCCACCCGGCCGAGCTGAAGAGGGGTGTGCCCCCCCGCGCCAGGCACGGCTCTTCCGGGGCAAGCGACACGTACGGCGACCCCTCCCCTTGGACGCGCCACTCCGCCGCCCGAGCTCTGAACGGCGCCGCTTCACAGCTGCATGCGTGAACAGGCAACCCCTCCCTCT